ACTTGTCTATGTACATTCGATTAAAAAGTCAGAACATCTGTGAAAGGAGGTAAAAGCATTTTTTTTTCCTCACTGCACTTGGAGGCGTGGACTCGCGGCAGCTCGAAATATCTGGCTCGTCCCTTTGGGAAAGGCCTAAAAGAAAAGGGGCCTACGTAATCTACCTTTTCTGCTAGATTAAGCGAATCCAGCGGAGAGGCTCGCTCGACAGCGGATCGGAGTCAGACAGTGAGTGAGTGGGTGAGAGTGCGAGCTCCCCCGCACGTGACCCCCCCCACAGTTTTCCGAGGGGCGACAAGGCAAACCGTGGGTTCCTTCCGCTGCAGTGCAGCAGCCGGTTTTGCTTTCCGCTTCCCCGAAATGGCGGGCGCCACGCCACGCCACGCCCCCACCCCATACCCTCTCTCTAGATCTCTATCCATCTGCGTGCGCTTTCTCTCTCTAGACCGGCGTAGAAGAAAAGAAAGAAGCAGCTGCCGAGGGCGACCGCCGAAAGCGGCCGCCTGGGTTGGATTTGCTATCCCCCCCTGGTTTCCTCCTCGCCCGTCCTGTCGTGTCGCCTCCACCGTCAACCCACCGTCGGGCGGCACCTGGTTTTGCCCCGTCCGCCCTCGCTGACCTCCCGCATATATCCCCGCCTCTCCTGTTGCCCCTTCGTCCCCACCAGCTCGGTTGATTCATCCCTCCCTCTCTCTGCCACGATCCAGCGCGTTTCTTTGCGTCTTCTGTTATCCTTTTGGAGCTGCCTACTGCCATGGGAGCGGGGATGGTGGAGCTCGGGCCCGGGGTGGTGGAGGTTGGTGCGGCGGAGGCCGCGCAGACCGTGCCGCCGGCCAAGAGGAGGCGGGTGCTGGCCGTCAAGACCGCGGCGGCGGCGGCGGCAGGAAGGAGGCCGCGGCGCGACAGGAGGCCGACCGCCATCCAGCGGCTCTTCCAGGCCTGCCGCGCCGTCTTCAAGGGCCCCGGCACCGTGCCCAAGCCCGCCGAGGTCGCCCTGCTCCGCGCCATGCTCGGTACGCTTACCAACCACCACACATCTACCTGTATGCAGATACTACTACTAGTAGCTACTACATGCACAATCAGCCAATCAGGACCCTGAAATTTAATTTGGTGCATGGAGTGACCCGTTAAAAGTTCGCATCTTGCTTTTGTATATCCAAAATAGTTTTACATGTCTTGGATGCCATGTACGTTCAGAATTTACTGGATTTTACTTGACAATTAGTGTCTACCATTGTTCTCTGCATACCGAAGATGTTTAATTTTGATTTTTCTACAAAAATATGTTTAATTTGAGCATGCAAATAGAGACATAGTTGAAATTAAGGGGATTCGGAAATGGGAATGTCTTAACTGCACAAAATGCTGATGATGTCGTCTACTGGTTGAATTTTACCACAACTGAATTTTGGCTGCCGGCGGTGATGTTTGCAGACAAAATGAGACCAGAAGACGTCGGCCTAAGCTCAAACATGCCCTTCTTCAGGAATAGAGAGGCGGCAACCGAAGGGACCCCCACCATCACACACACCACCATATACAAATCTGAGAAATTTTCCGTAAGTGCAGCGTAAAAAACAGTGTGTGGATCATATATATATATATATATATACCCCAAGGGAACTAGTTGCTGACATTTCCTTCTTTTGTTGCTCGGCAGATGGTTCTCTTCTTCTTGCCGACGAATGCGGTCATCCCTCTGCACAACCACCCCGGTATGACGGTGTTCAACAAGCTGCTCATCGGATCGATGCACGCAAAGTCATATGACTGGGCTGATCCTGATGATCCGGCTAATGAGAGTGGCGCTTCGTCGCCTGACGGTAAATGTGAGCTTCCCACCCATTTCTACTACAATTGTCACCAGATCCCCTGCTTCTGCTCCCCGGTATGCCTGGCGACACAAATGTCCTATAACGTTTAGACTTCCTTGATTGCAGTGAGACTGGCACAACTAGTCGTGGACGATGTTTTCACAGCGCCGTGCGACACGTCGGTCCTGTTCCCGACGGCGGGAGGCAACATGCACCGGTTCAGGGCCGTCGCGCCATCTGCGTTCCTTGACATCCTTGGCCCCCCTTACTCCATCGAAGAGGACCGAGACTGCACGTACTACACGGACATTCCATACTCCGAGCATCGCAGTAAGTTGACAATTCTGATCTCAAAAATCTAATCTAGATACATTATGGAGATGGACTTGCTACTAGTTCTGAATTTTGACAGTGTGTGTAGCCTGCAACTGTAAACTAGCACCGAAAATGCTTGAGCTCATATCCTCCTATTTGGGGGTTTGGTTTGAGTGATCACAGTGAATACTTTATGCATCCTTTTTACCGACAGCAAGCGAGAGAATTAACTAAGAAGTATGGTTAGGCATCAATAGCAAGTTGCAACTTGCAACATAGATATTATATGTTGCATCATCAAAACAGTAGTTTGCCTTGTAAGCAGCCCACTGAATGGAGAAAGAGGTCTTTTAGTTAAGTAACAACCTGGAGCTTTCAGGTAGCTTTGTTTATCATACACTCCTTAATTAATAGTGCAAGCAAGCACACGGTTTTGCGCCCCCGTACGTGGGTTTCAGAAGCACGGGATGTCGAAACCACTTGTGCAAAACCATGTTCTAAAGGGCACTAGGCGAGAGGCATCCATATTTTAGAACAGTATTAAAGTAATGTAGCTTCACCCCAAAGATATTTAGGCTCCACTAGGTCTTGAACATTGGTCGGTAATCACATGATCATCGATGCTTCTGCTAATTAAATTTAATTACAGCTAGCTCATGGGACACTACTGTAATCTGAAGGTTAACTAAACTTGTCTCCTCTTCTGCTGACAGTGACCAGCAATGAGCCCATCGGCGACGAGCAAGAAGGCCGGCGTCTCGCGTGGCTGAAAGAGGTCGAGATGCCGAAGGATCTGAAGATGTGCAGCGTCCGGTATGGCGGCCCGCCAATCTCCGGCAGATGATCGATGATCCTTTCCTTCAAGCCCTTTGCAACCGATGATGAGCTGTCAAGTGTCAACCCAACTCAAACCAGATGGTGTCAGAATCGCTGTTTACCTTGTGAATACAGCAGCAAGCTAGTTAGTTGAGCCATAAGAATAGGTCTCAGTTTGTGCATGATGTCTCAATCAGTTATGGCAGTTTACCATGTAAAAGTGCTTGCTTGCTTGCTTTTGCAGCAGCTGTGTACGTGGACCTTGTCCAGCAGATCCCTTTGTTGATCTTTTCTCAATATATAGATCATGCCATAGATTTTACTTGCTTAGCCTCTACATTCCCCACTTTTTTTTTTTGAAATGTCGCATGCTCTGCCCAATTATTTATCAGGTCTGAGATTCTTAAATTCGTCCCCCATGTCTCTCGCACTAATTTGTCATTCCTTCTTTTTCAGTTTTTTTAGATATTAATAATATCATTTTTAGAATTTCCATACTGTATTTTCTGTTTCCAATTTTCAAATTTAACAATATGATTATTGAAGTTTTAGTCGCCATCTCTTTTGTCAAATTTGAGATTCTTAAATTCCTATTTCCCAACTTGTGGCTAAAACAAGTAGTACAATTTTAGTTTTTCTAATAATATCACTTACCACTTCTCTATCTTCTTGCTTTCGTTTAGTTTTTCTAATAATATCACTTACAATTTCCCTATTTTCTTGCTTTCGTTTTTTTTAAATTGTACTACTTTGCCATTCTTTTGTTTAAAAAATAGTTTTTCTAATAGTATCACTTACAATTTCCCTATTTTCTTCCGTTCGTTTTTTAAAATTAAAATTATATGTTTCTTTAAATTTAGTCGTCATCTCTTTTGTCAAATTGGGAATTCTTAAATTCCAACTTCCCCATATATCTTGGGATACTTTGTATTTTATTTTTAATCAGATTTTAGATTTAAATAATATGATCATAAGGTTTTAACATTTGCATATGTTTTGGGGGGTTTGATTTTCTCTATTCTTTCTGACGTGTGATCATATCATTCGCGTATGTGGCTAAAACAACCCTTTTTGTATGCGCCATCACGTAAGCAAAACCAAAACGGTCTTAGATGTGAAATAGTTGTGCGACTCATCAAAGGGGAAGTTGTCAGGTTAGATATATTTGAACATACTCCTTCTAATCGGTATTACATCAATTTTTATAAAAGTCATGTATGTTTGACAAAGATTATAGAAGAAAATATTAACATTGTAATATAAAATAAACAATGAATAAAAATATATTTTATGAATTTATATAATTTTTGATCCGTCATAACATGTATTTTATTAATTAAAAAACTTGGTCAGTTTAAGTTTGAGTTGAAGGAAAACGTGGTCAGTTTGAGTTTGACTTGAAGAAAAACTAATGCACCTTTCTATTTATGATGGCGTATAGGTTTTTTTAGAGAAAGATGCGCATAGATTAAGCTGAAGGGAAATCCTAGCCGCCGCATCTCGTGCCTCCTCCGCCCCTCTCCCTCCTCGCCGCCGTCCGTAGCGCCGCCGGGCGAAGCCTGGCCGGCTGGGCGGCGGAGTGGGTTCTCCCCATCCTTTTCGTCTTGGCTGGCGCGGGACAACGGGGTCGAGAGGGCGCCGGGTGAATGTGGGGTTCGGCGGCGCGGCGGGCGGGTCTCCCGGCAGCGTTGTGCGCGGCGCGGTGGCAGCGGCCTGCGTGTCGCGAGGTGGTGGCTGCGTTGGGCCTGCCCGGTGGTCATGGGTGCCGCCGGATCCTGATCGGATCCATCTGGATCCTGTCTTCGGACTCCGTCGGCCGTCGTGGGGTGGTGATGGTCGTCACTGGCCACATCGGACCGCTGGTTTCGATGTCTGAAGATCTACAACGGGTTCTTCTCGATCCTCATGGCGGGTCGAGCTCCATGGCTCTTGCATCTTCGCAGGTTTTGGATCGTGGCTCGTTGCTGGATCCGGAGCAGATGGAGGTTTGGTGGCATAGGATGGGGACCGGAGGAAACTTTGGTCGGCTAGGCCGGCCCGGCATCGGCGACGTCACTCGACGCCGTTACCCTCCGTGGAGGTGAAGCCGAGGTCTCTCCTATCCACCTCCGAACCCCTCCCGGACGAAAGTGCAAAATTCAGTCTGGATTGGGCGGTGGCGACGTCCCGTGCGTCGTATCCTCCATGCAGGCGCTGTCTTGGGAGGACTTGCTGTTCGGGGGAGAGATGCTGTGGATGGTGGGCTCCGAGTACCTCCAGCAGTGGCGACGGTGTGGAGGTTGCCAGGTGGTGCGGTGTTGTATCTACCGCATAGATGACGACGAGTTTTGGCGGCATGGTGCAGCTGCATATCGATGACGGATGCGGCTGGATGGACGAGCGCAGGGCGGTGGAGCTGTCTGGCGCCATGGTGGCGTCGACGGCAGCGAGACCGGGCGAGGTAGATGCAGCAGTACAACACTAAATATGGATCGATAGTAGGTGGCTGCGGCAGCCTCATACCCGACAGGCGTCCTGGTTGAGTAGTGCGCTGGACTAATGGGTACATCGTACTTGACAGGCGTCCTGGTTGGGACCTCAGGTCTTAGATGTTAGGTTTGGATGCGAGGTCAGTTTGGTATTAGGCCCAGAGTATCAGCGCCCTTTCATCAACTGATTAGGAGTAGCGACAAATGTTGCCTAGACGGTGGTTTTAGTATTACTGTTGTATGATTTTGTAATGTCTTATGTGAACAATCTTTACCTACTAATAAAGCAGTCATTGTTTCTGGTCGTACGTCATTGGCATTTTTGCATAAAAGCCCCCGCGATTTTGGGTATTCAACCCGCAGTACAATAATAAGTCAACTCCAACCGGTATTGACGAGAGAAAAAACGAAATAACCCACCCGCCCGCCGATGCATCAGTCCTTCCCCACATCAGCAGTCTTTAAATTGACTATTAGTCCCACCTCGCAGCTTTGTATTGAATCCTACAAATTTATATATGTTCGAAAGTAGACAATCAACAAGCCAGATAACAAAGCAGAGATGGCTGATCAAGAGAATAAGAGAGAGATCAGATAAAACGAGCCTCCCTCAAGGCCAATGCATCACCGGCGCGGACTTGCCTCAGGGAAGCGGAACAAAGCCGTGGGCGCTAGATGGAGAAGTGAATGGAATGGAGAGGGGGAAGGAGGGAGTTAGGGAAGGGAATGGAGAGGGGGAAGGTTAGCGGAGCAGCGGGCTGGAGTTGCAGGGGGGTGGGTAGCCGGCCATGGTGCCGGTCGCCGGACTGGACGGGGGGAGGCGAGGAGGGGCTGCAGGCGCCGGGGGTCGAGGGGACTTCCTTGCTCGGGCGCGGTTGGTGCGGGAGGCGGCGTACGGGCGGCGGCGTTGTTGCAGCGCGGCTGGGCTGTGTATGGGCTCCTGGCATGGAGAAGTGGCGCTGGGTGTGATGGATGTGGAGAAGATAAGAATTGAGTGGTGGAAAAGGAATTGTCGGTGGGATTGAGTGCTTGTTGCTACTGCTTTTTTTTAAACGATGTGATGTTTTTCTTCTGCTTTTCTGTGTAAAGCTAGGTGTCGGTCTCTGCTTTTTCTGCGTAGAGCTAGGTGTCGATCTCTGCTAGCATAGTAGTACAATTTACTTGGCTGCTGTTTAAGCCTGCCATATCTTAATCTTAATTATGAATACATTAGTAGTTACAGTACTTAAAAGATGTGTGACTGAAATATTGGAAAGATTTATTTAAAAAAATATTGAAAATAAATACTTTTTCTTAGGGAAAATTCGGGCTCACCTATGGACTACCTGATCATCAATATATTCCTCGAGTCTTGATGTTCCTGATAGATTTGTTTAAAAAAATATTGAAAATAAATACTATTTCTTAGGGGAAAAGATATTTCGGGCTCACCTATGGACTACCTGATCATCAATATATTCCTCGAGTCTTGATGTTCCTGATGCCGTTGAGATAGAGATGAGGGACGAACAAAGAGTTGAGAGGGTACGGCAACGGTGCATCCTGCTTGAACTGGGTCTGGAGGAGGGGTTGTGTCCTATTTCGACTCTCACGCCGGCGAGAGAGAGAGAGAGAGAGAGAGAGATGTGGTCATGGCTATGCCGATCATGTCCTTAGTCCTTCCGTGCACCACCTCTATGCATGTGGCTACTCCCCTCCCTCATATCATCTCACCCGCAACTCTGCATGTCCTATCCTGATCCTGTTCGAGCCCTGATGTTGGTGTCAAGGGAAGCAACCGTGTTGGCGCAGTCGGCGTGCTCCTACTGTTGGTGGTCGTCAATGGCAGAGCTAGACCAGGAAGACTCGGGGAGGGGGGGGGGGGCAAAGAGAAAAAACAATTTCTAGGGGGTGCAAAATCTCTATTTTTTCCAATCTATAAATCTCTATAAAGAATTTCTTCACTATTTTTGCCCAGTCTGAGGGGCGACGACACCTGCAGGGATGCATGTTGCTCCGCCAGTGGTGGTCGTGTATCAACAAAAGAGCATCAAGCATTGTAAACTCTTTACTATCTAATGGTCATCTTATTTTTGAAGTGGTCAACTAAAAATATGAATTCATGATAAGACGAGGAAGAATCTAACATATTGAGAGATAGAGCTCGATATTTCACCATGATAGATAAACTCTAAAATATCACGCAAACCCTAAAATTTATTTCATACCGTTGTAACGCACATGCTTTTTTTTTGCTAAAATGTCATCTTTTATTAAAAATAAGGAAATTCCCACGTTTAACCATATTATCAACATTTATTAAAAATGGATATAAAAATTGATGCATAATGACACATGCAGCAGGTTATGCCCATTTATCCGCCCGGTGCAACGCACGGGCATTTGTACTAG